TGCAGTCCCGCTCCTGCAGGGACAGGGGGCACTGCAGTCCCGCTCCTGCAGGGACAGGGGGCACTGCAGTCCCGCTCCTCCAGGGACAGGGGGCACTGCAGTCCCGCTCCTCCAGGGACAGGGGGCACTCTAGTCCCGCTCCTCCAGGGACAGGGGACACTCTAGTCCCGCTCCTTTGGAGAGAGGGGGCACTTTAGCCCCGGTCCTGCAGGGTCGCCTGACGGTGTGGTCCCAGTACTCCCGAGAGGAGATAGATTGAGGGAGGTGAAGAATTAAAGAGGAATGAGCAAAAACCTGAGGGGAATCGGATTGAGCTAAGGGCCGCGGGGCGGACAAAGATCCGGATTCCGGACGGCGACCAACTAAAATGGAGAGCGGGGAGGAAGCGACGACACTCTGACGGGCGGACGTGGCGTTAACGTGCTGCAGTTGGCCCAAGAGGGGTAGGGGGCGGAAGTGGCGCCACAGCGTCGCCCCGTCATAGTGAGCGGGACGGACGTGATGTTTAGCAACTCGCAGTCGGCTACCCATGGCAAGTGGGGAGGAGAAATTCAAATGAAGAGTCATCTGGACTCGAGACGTTAGCTTCTTTTCTCTCTATTGATACTGACTGACCCACTGCGATTTCCAGCAATTTCAACTTACTGCGTGGTGAGGGGGGGGGAAGTAGATGTCATTGTCGCAGCGGGGCGGAAGTGACGTCTAGTTGTGCGCTAGTCCAGCCGGTGCTGCGGGGCGGAAGTGACGCTGTGGTCACGTGATGTCCAATGGAGGCGGGCCGGAAGTGGCCGTCGCTTGGGGCGGCCTAGCTGCTCTTGTTAAAGCCTGAGGCGGGAGAGAGATGGAGCTGGAGCGGCCGGTGAGGACGGAAGGGATAGGGAGGCAATGAAACGCGAGTGATAATACTGGAATTGTCCATTGTTTAAAAGGAAGGGGTTGGTGGCAGGGCTGGTGGTGAGCAGTGGCTTGGCCTGAGTGAATAAATAACAGAATGGGGAAGGAGGAGGATGGAGGGTCTGAGTGGGGGTGCCCCCCCTCCTCGACTTGGCAGGGCCCGCGGTGACCCCTGACCCTCTGACGTGGCCCACGGTGACCCCTGACCCTCTGACGTTGCCCACAGAGACCCCTGACCCTCTGATGTTGCCCATGGTGACCTCTTGACAGAGCCTGCTGTGATCCCTGACCCTCCCATATTTCCCACAGTGACCTCTGACAGGCCTCCGTGGCCTCTGACCCCTCTTTTTTTTTCTCCCCCCCCCCCCCCCCCCCCACCCCCATCCCTCCTGTCCGTAGGGCACGGCGGCTGGTGACGCGGTGACACCGGAGCCCTCTCACCTTGAAGAGCTGGAGCCGACAGACCCCGACACGGTGAACGCTCCCGTCTACTGCATCTGCCGACGGCCCGACATCAACTGCTTCATGATGTAAGTCAGCCCTGGGGCTGCGGAGGGGAACGCCGCCACCAACCCCCCCTTTTGCACCGAAAGCGCTGGGCGGAGTGGCTGGTGTCGTGGGTTTTGGGGGGGTGAGGTTCGCTCGGTGCTTGAGGAACGGTGTAAAGCCGAGGGGACGTGTAGCCTGTTCCTCAGCTGCAGCACCTTCCGATTCCCAAACCCTCCCCGTCAATCCTCAAAAGATTGGGTTCAGCACAGGGGCTCAGTGGCTAGCGCTGTTGTGTTTCAGCGCCAGGGACCCGGGTTCGATTCCACCCTCGGGCGACTGTCTGTGTGGGGTTTGCACATTCTCGCCCCCGTGTGTGCGTGGACTTCCTCCCGCAGTCCAAAGATGTGCGGGTTAGCGTAGATTGGCCATGGGAAATTGTCCCGTAGTGCCCAGGGATTTAGAGTGGGAGTGGGGTTGGGGGGTCCGTGAAGTGTACCGCAGCACCGATCACATTCATTCACCGATCATTCTTCATTCCCCCCCCCCCCCC